TATATGAACTTATGCTAATACAAACTGAACTCATAACTCAGTCTTTGGTGTAAATAACCATAAATGTTTACTTAAATTATTCTCTACTGCTAAAGTGGAAACAGTTTAAATGTATACAAAATAACATTTGCAAGAACTTTTGAGGTTTTTGAGATTGGAGTTTCTTTAAGACAGCAGAAATCTGCTTTAGTCCTGGTCCCACTCAGAATAACTGTTAGCTCATCTCTACCAAGAAAACGTCTGCCTGATTGTCCAAACTAAGAAATGATTTCTACAGCAACCATTCCTAACTCCACTAAAATAAAAATAAAAATATCTGAACTAGCCTTAACACAACAGACACTTAAACAGGAAATTTCCAATGGATTGCGGCAAGAAGTGCTGCACAGTATTATGAAAATAATTTATGTTTTTAGAATTAAAGCATGTAAAACTAATTAGACAGACCCCAAAATGAGAATAAAGTTATTAACTTGGGCTTTGCAGAACCAGTGGAAAACCAAACTCTCTTGGGAAACTTGATCCAGTGTAACATTTTGTGCTTTCTTCTGCTCTAACTTTGTGTTTCTTATTAGCATCGGGGGATGAAAACAGCCCAATAAACTCACAGTTTGCTGTTTTGTTAATGTGGAGCTCTCTGGAGCAGAAATCCCTGCTGGTTCAGGCCTTTAATGTCCAGAGCAAACATTACTCATCACTTCCTCTTCTAACAGGCTTGTCTCAGAAATGGACTCTTTGTGACATCAGACATGTCAGAGAAGTTTTTTGGGGAAAACRCCTAATCGGATGGGATCCCCGGCACGTCTGACACATAGCATCGATTCACACTGTTGCACAACAGATGATTTCACATTTCACAATCCTCCGTTGGTATTTTTTTAACATCTATCTTATGTTCTGTCAAAACAAACCGTCTGGTTTGTGTTTCCTTRGCAGCCCAAGTCTCAGTAAACAATCACAAACACTGTCATAAACACACGATTATGATAAGGCACTGTTTTGTGCAGTGCCCAGTAAAAGTAAGCAGTCTGCCAACTCAGGACATGGTGATTTTCACAGTTTGGATACATCTAGACCTGCTATCCATCCAGACCTGGGAATGAAGTAAACGTTTGTCTGGGAACACGTGAGTCCGTCTGCTGCAGACCTGATCCAGTCTCTCCAGAGCTCGCTGACTCACCAGCTGCTGAATATGGACATTAATACTCATCACAGCCTTGGCCCTCAGTATATTTGCTCTGGGAAAGATCATAAAGGTTTTGGGCCTAGCGGCATCTTCACCTCTTTATGTTCTCACGGTTTCCAGTTTCAGTCCTATCACACAAATAATTTATTAAATATTTTTAAAAAGCATTTTAAGGCCCTTCGACATCAGCGTTCCATGACTAAACATGTTAATTATGCAGAACAATAAACATAAAATATAAGTTCAGTATTTTATAGTTTGTTATATTAACTGCACGTCATTCCTCATTTTTTATAAATTGCTACTAATTAGATTTTTGTGGTCTTTATCAAAATTGTCATTGGACTTTTGTTGCTTTTTGTCTTGATTTCTCTCCATTACCAGTATTTTTTTCTGTTGTTGTTGTTAAGCATTTTAACTATGACCTATGACACAAAATGCTTCTAAACTGTTATGCTGTTGTGGCCATGGATAACAGACAATTTAGCAACAAATCAATTTTAAAGTGAGTTTTTTAGACGTTTTTTTGTTATCAGCACCTTGTCATAAATATATAATTTTCTCCCATTTCTTTACCTGAATCTAAAAGTAATATCAAGCCTAAGATAGTATAAGACAAGTATAGCACCAATAAAAGAATTCCCAAAAAACTGTGATGTGAGTTGAAGACTGCCAAAGTACGATACATCTCTCAGGTCCTGGGTCAGGTTTTTGCTGACTTTGCTGTACTTTTCAACACATCTCATCCACTGTAGATTTGACTCTTTTTTTGCCTTTTATTTATTTTTCCCGTTTTTTTAATTTAATTTTTTTCTCTCTTTATGAGTAAAACAGCAACCAAAGTCCAAAAACTGGTCAAATCACGACCACTTAAAAAAAGTATGAGAAAGTTTGACTGCTTGGAAGCAAACTTTACTGTATAAAGACTTTAGGAACATTTTGTCTTGGCTTTTTTCTGTGTACTTTCGTATCATCTCTGTGATGTATAAAAGGCGTACATGCTCAAATGGTTCCTGCCTTCTGGCACCCCCCTTATCTCCTTTACCTTGCAAGATAAGATCTTCTTAAATCCCCTCTTTTAAACATCTGGCTCAGATACTGATCCCTGCAGATCTGCTGTTTGGTTTCATGAGTCGTTAACGAGACAAAGCTTTTGTGCAAGTGTCATGTGAGTCTTTGAGGCATCACTCCCAGCTGGTGTTTGGGTTAATGACAACGAAAAAAAAAAAGATGTAGAAGAAAAATCTGACTGGAGAATCAAAGAAATCCCTTTAATATTTACTGTACCTGCAGATTACTGGGCTATGTTTGGAGCTCCTGCAGACATGGCAGGGTTCAGCRTTTTGGTGAGCCTCAGGGTGTCACGCCTTCCAACATGTAGTAACGTCTGCYGAGCCCAGTTATGTCTGAGATGGGTGACAAAAAAAAAGGTGCACCAAGCAATTACGAGGCAGACAGAAAACAAAAGACAGACGAAGTTCTTCAAACAGTTGTGATTTGCATCAGTGGAAATGATACTTGGGAATGTTTTCCCTCTGAATTAACATGCCTTCACTCCTTTGGTGAACAGCCAAAAGGATTCTGCCTAATCCAGCACCAGGAGCCATATTTTCTGTCAGAAATCATGATGATAAAACCCACATGTGCTACTTTTACAGAGTCGATGTTCGTTTCCTCTGTTTGTCTGATGTCACTGATCCGTTCTGAAGCAGGTGTTTGTAAAACCTTCGTGTGCCATGACGGATTGATATATATTTATAATTAAAGTAGGCAGCTGTAGGTGTTGGAGCGAGCTTGACTGCGAAGGAGGTGTAGGCCATACGTGTGCAATAAAATAAAGAGAACAAGAGTAATAAGGAAAGGCTGCTAAATGTCCTGGGAACACTGTTGTGGCTGCAACATGTTGATTTAATTAGCAGGTATGTTTGGTTGTTAAAAGTCAGAGACCCAGCAATTAGTTAGTGCAGAGTTGTATAAAACTGGTTGAATGTTGTGGTGAGGAAATTAAAAGAGGTATTTATTTGTTTCTTGTGTGTCAGAAAGGCAGAAATATGCGTGGTTAGTGTAGCCGTGTACCATCTTCCCAAGCATTCAGACCCGCTCCGGGCTCTGACAGCATTTTGGCTTGAGGCCTTACACGTGAGTCTAGCAACAGCTGGAAATGGGAGCAAAAAAAGGAAGCGAGGAGCAACGGAAGATGGAGCCAAGATGGTGCAAGAGCCAGTTCCCAGGCTCAACCTCTGGAGACCCCAGAGGGGGAAAATAAATGTAAAAAGCAGGGTGGGATTCAGAGGGGTGGAGGGCCAAGACCATCTGCACTGATGTACGGATGTCCTACTGACTGCAAGACGTTCCACAAATAGGTGATCCCTGGCTGGGGCTTGAAATGAATGTGTTTACGGATGTTCACYGGTGATAACAGCATGGACTGCTCTGACTAATCTTTGCCTGTTATTGTCCATTGGCTTTCAGCTTATTTTTAGTATCAACGTCTCAACTTTTTTTCCCATATCTTTTTTTCTAATAAGTAGCATTTTTATTCATATGGTGATGAAGTTTCAGGGATGAATGTATTGGTCAAAAACACAAATYATGAAGGCCTAACAATCCAAGATTTTAAAGATAAATCTTGTCCAATCATTTGTTGATCAAAGTATGTGTTGGGGATGACTCTCAGCTACTATCACACCAAGTTCTRGCTTAATATTTTTWAAAACTGACTGAGTTGAAGTCATTTTAATATTAGCTATGGTTAAATATCTGATGTGGTCGTTTGGAATTGGATAGATGTCTGAGGATTACCTTGAGAGTTTCACCCATGGGCCGCGGCCCACAAAGAACAACAGWTTTTAATTTTGGGCCGCGGGACTGCATTGATTTTGAATAAAGTGCATACACTTTTTCACCACTAGTAGCAGTAGTGCGCCACTCAGATGTTTACCAACTTTTTTAATACAAAGAAGAAGAAGAACCTTAGAAACCTGCCAAGAATGGAAACCTGTATTTTAAATAAAAAGTAGAAGCAAAAATGAAGGCAACCCATCAAAAAAGGCCAAAGTTTGTCACTAATATGAAGTGCAGCTTCTGGCTTTACTTCTGGTGGTTGTTATTATTTATGTTTTATAAATATATATTTTTGTGTTGACAAGCCTGAATGGTCTGTTGACTGACCATTGTATTTGTTCAAATAATTGTTATGGGCAGGTTACAATATAAAAATGTTTGTCATAATCATGTATTGTGATTATTTGACAGGAGTTTTACTTTTAAGTGTAAGTGTATTTAATTTAGTCATAATGCAAACACAATACACATAAACCAAGATTTAGAATAATTATCATATTGATCCATACATCGGTAATGTCTGACTGGGCCTCGTGTCACTTTATGTTCAGCAAATTGGGCCCTGAGGTCAAAAAGGTTAAGAACCCTTGGTTTATAAGATATTTTGCTAACAGGCAGACAAACACATCAAGTAAGAAATTTTACAGCATGTGGCTGTCCAAACGGCATCGTTGATGGCTTTTATCCTGCATGTTTTTTTTTTGTTTCTCTGCTCCAACACACCTGATCCAGTAAGTGAAGTGCCTCTTCAAGCAGAATCCTGTTAATCACCCATTCATTCAATCTAGATGTGCTGGAGCAGAGAAACAAATAAAACATGCAGGATGGTGGCCCTCCTGGAGACTGGACACCCTTACAGACTTTTAGTGCCTTTAATTGACCAAAAAAAATGCTGTAACATACAGTATGTGTATGTTTTGAATCTCCCAATAGATAGATAATTTATTATTATGTTTCTCTTCATCTTCAGGGTTGTGGAACTTCGTGTGGAAAATGTGACTGCAGTGGTGTGAAAGGAGCAAAGGTAAGATTTTCTTTTTTATAACCCTGATCTAGTCGTTCACCTTGATTGAATTTTTTTGGGATTTAAAAGAGCAAATTGTTTGGAGTTCACAGAGAAAATGTTTACAATGTTTTGACTCTGATAGGGGATAAACTCATTAGGATAGGCTGCAATATGAACCTGGTCTTKGTCAGAGACCTGGATGTAAACAAAAGCCCATTTCAATTACAGCATGTCGGCACACACAGCATAAAGGCCTTAATCCCATCAGCTGGAGGGAGGCTGTGATTTACAGATATACATGTGACAAACTGGCACTGAGCTCAGATTTGTCAGAACATTAATCACCAACCAGGAACATAAAAATGACATTAGCTCTGTGGACAGACGGAGTTTAATTTGTAGGTTTTTACTCTGTGTGTGTATGCATGTGTTTATATTTAAGGTGAAATATATCTTGCAATTGCAAAGAAACAAATATTATTGGACAGTTTTGGCCCTTTTTACCCTTCACCTTGACTGCCAGGTCAAATTGACAGGATTTTATATTCTTATGTTTATGCTCTTTTGAAAATCTATTAACTTCATTTATCCTCTTTTAAGTTGTTTTGTACTATGGGATGAAAATATTTTGTACCTTTTTTTTATTCACCGTTCTTTAACCAGGCAAGTCCCGCTGAGATCTCAGATCTGTTTTTCAAGGGAGGCCTGGGCCTGTAGGTAACCTATTGTACATGTTTTTGTGGGGTGGGGGAAACCGGAGTACCCAGAGAAAACCCACGCAAGCACAAAGAGGACATGCAAACTCCGCACAGAAAGACCCCAGGTCTGAACCAGGGATCAAACCCAGGACCTTCTTGCTGTGGGGCGTCGGTGCTAACCACTGAGCCGTCGTGCCGCCAAAACTACTTGAACTCCTGCTGTTTGAGAGTAAATGAACTCAGCAGTCACACCTTTTATTTGTCTTGTTTTAACAGCAACAGGAAACAGACATTGTGTACGTTTGACTGTAACAGCACGTGCTCAGTTGTTTTTCAGTATTTTCCACCCAGTTGTTGTGGATTTAGAGCTCCTCTGTGCTTTAAAGCTGCTGAAAAACCTCAAACAGCCTCCTGTGATCCATATTTTCCCCCCAATAACACCATCACATCCTAATGTTGCACAACACACCTTGCCATGGTAACCCAGGGGTAATCCCCAATGTTTAAACATACAATGTTTGTCTTGACTGATGTGATCCAGGTGTTGGGGAAATCAATCCTAAAAGTAATGGCTTCAATATGGAAAGTTTCTTATTTTGTTTGAATGATTCTCCACCAGAGTGCAATGCCTCCCTCTAGTGGCAGTTTGGAGTTTCCTCTGGGTCCAATTAAGATAAGATAAGATAAGATAAGATAAGATAAGATAAGATAAGATAAGATAAGATAAGATAAAACTTTATTTTTTTATTGATCAATAAAAAAGATAAGATAAAACTTTATTGATCCCACTGTGGGGAAATTTGCACATTACTGCAGCTTAATACAAGAGTGGCTGAGAAGAATAATGAAAGATAAATAAAAGATAACAAACAAAAACAACCCCACAATATACACATGTGATGTATAGTAATGTACATATACACATATACATAAACACATATGCATATACATTTATATACATATATACACCGTAAAGTACAGTACAAAAATGAATGTATATGAAGGTACATATTAGTGATGGCAGTGTAGGTGAATTGTCCAAGTGACTGATAACATCATGATGTGTTATACAGTCTACCTGCAGTTGGAATGAATGACCTACAGAAGCGCTCAATTATTAGCATCATGACAACAACTAACCAAATTTATTTGAACTACGTTTTAAAACAGTGCTTGTTTTTACAGTGAATTAACTTGCATAATTAATAAAATGTGTCTAATTGCTATTTTATTCATTAGAAAAATGTTGCRTTTTTGTTGTCTTGTTTTTAAATTTGTCAGCCTGTGTGTTGCAGGGGGAGCGTGGATTTCCAGGTCTTCACGGTACCATGGGGTTCCCAGGGATGCAGGGACATGAGGGGCCGCCAGGGCCAATGGGCCCAAAGGTTGGTGCACATGTTCAGTCCTGGCTTTTAGTGGGAAAACTAGCAGTTTTTATAAAGGGCAAAGCTCCAAAGCATAGCAACGTTTCAAACACGTCATGAAATAATTAAATGACTTAAAACTGTAGATGTGGATATGACAAAAAATAATAAATTAGCATTCAGACTTTGTGCAAGAGAAGCTTTAACCAGCACTTTTTAGTAATTTAGCTTTAAAAAGGACTTCTTACAATGTAAACAAAAAATGTATTTGTTGCTGCCTTTTGCACCTTGTAATGTACAATAAAACAACCTTCTATTTAACATTTGCCAAACTATTTGTAGAAAATGTTAACTTTCCAGAGATGYTTTGGAACAAAAGGCTATGTTAATGCTGACATTATGTGTTGAACAGGGAGATTATGGTTTACCTGGAGCTCCTGGGCTGAAAGGAGTGCGAGTAAGTAACTGAGCATTATTATTTTAAAGCAGTTGTAAAATAAATATCAAAAAAATGAGATGACATTTTTTAGATTTTTTTTTCTCTGTGAGTAAATCAAAAATTTTGTGTTTGTGCAGGGCCCTCCTGGTCTGCCAGGTATGCCAGGAAACCCAGGACTACCAGTAAGTTTTCTAACCTGCCATCATCATTTCTTATAGTTGCTGCTCAAAATATATATTTTTTAATTTGACTGTTTATTTGATAAGAATCTAACCCCCCACCCCCAATTCTAATTATAGGGCATCAATGGAAACGATGGTCCACCTGGTCCACCCGGTATCCCAGGATGCAATGGGACGAAAGTAAGCCACTTCTAGTTAAACTGCCAATTTTTTACCTGAATTTGTTTAAAGTGTATCTTACCCCCCATGAAAAGATAACTCCACCCCAAGGCGAAATTTGAAAAATGCATCTAAGTGGGCAGTGGAGTGGGAGTAGTGTGGGTGGGGAAGGGGGGGTTAGAGAGCGGAGGTGTGGTCAGGACGAAAGAACGTGACAGCTAGCATTAGCATAATTGATGCTACATGGAGAGTGACCACAGYRHCGCAGATAGTTACATCTCTGAACGTCTGAGGTGGAGGATTTTTCACCCCCSTCCTCACCAGAGGCAGAGAGAGACTTGATCAAGTCAGCYCAGTCTGGGACTGACTCGTGTTGGCTCCCTGGATCAGGACACGGCGCACTTTACTGCAGCCTCGACTGAGCTGTCCGCCTCACACCACACCAACACCAGACAGAGCAGGTGGAGCGCTCCGTGACAGCCTGACAGAAAAAATAAAAGCATACAGCTACAGCTGCTCACAAGATCGCTAGTTTAAATCATGAATAAAAGTGTTTGGTCTTGTTTGATTGAAGTTTGGTCCGGTTCGGGCTGTTTCTTCATTTCACAATGACGAGATGATCGCGGACATGCAGCTGCGCCGTGCTCTTTCTGCCTTTTTTCCCCCTCCTCCCCTCCCGCTGTGCAGGACGTAGAGCGGGCAGGTGTGTGTGTGTGTGTGTGGGGTGGGAGGGGGGAAGAAACGCAGCAGTCACCTCTCCCCACCCGAGGCTGAAGGTCAACAGACGATCATGCTAAGCTTGCTAACTGTTCCACCCTCTGACTGCTGCAGGGGCGTGTCTTAGAGAGAGGCTTTTATACCAGAACACAGCYGCTGTGACGAAACYGTGGAGAAGACACGTCACCGTGGAGAGCCGTTAACCAATATGCAAATTAGCCTGCAGTACCACTGCTCTACCCATATGAGCAGCAAAAACACGTTTTTAGACCAAATATTACAGATTTGAACAAATACGCACAAAAACAGCAAAATTAGCATAGAAACAGTACTATATAACATTTTAGACACATTCTAGSCAGTTTATCAGCTAAAAAAAGTTAATTTTGGGGTAAGTTACTCTTTAAACYCACATGTGCTGACATTATAACTCATTCTGCTTAATGTGACCAATCACAAGAAATCAGGGAATAGGTCACATTCGTTAAAACTAAATGAAGCACATTTTTAGATTCCTGGCTCTTCGACATAAACACATAGATAATCCTGATATCAATATATGGATTGATTTGTCTTGCTAATCAAAAAGACCCCTGAAAAATTGGTCTGAATCCTTTTTTTTCTTTTTTCTTTTTTGTGTGTATTCTAATAAGAATTTCCTATYACTCTTATTACACTATTATTACTCTTACTTGAAAGAGGAAACTTCAAACCTATATGGATATTTGGATTTTCCAGCTGATACTGGAAACAGCTTCACTAGTGCACAGGAAAAGTTGAAACACCATAGGGCTTAAACTGCTCAGAATCATGGTTAGTTGTTGTTACTGCACATCAGTGGTGGACAAAGTACTCAACTCTAGTACTTGAGTAAAAGTATTGATACTCATGGTCAAATCTACTCCACTACAAGTAAAAGTTACTCAGTCAAAAATCTACTCAAGTAAAAGTACTGAAGTACTTACTTTTGAAAACACTTAAGTATTCAGAAGTACATGCATTTTAAAGTACTTAAGTACAAAGTAAAAGTACAAATTACATTTTTTCTTTTCTTTTACTTGTCACTTCAGTAGAAAACTAAACTAAATATTAGTTTATTTAGTTTATTTATTCATCATCAGTGACTTTTTTAAGTGAAGAGAAAATAGAGACAGAGAAAAACATAGAGAGAAGATATTAGAAAGATATAAAGACTGAAATAGAGATTAGAAGTATATTAAATATACACCAACAAAACACAGGACCACACACCCAACATCTGTCCGCTCACCTGAATATTAAATGGATAAATACATGGAGGGCATATATAAATATATACACATACCCATACATATTGTATATAAAGATATACATACATACATACCTACATTCATAAATATTGTCAGTATATACACACAGACATATTTACACACTCAGTGACCAGTCAGAACTATAAGCTACGCATGTGATTGGTTACCTTTTGACGAACATAGCTTGTGGCCAATTGCATTTCATGAAAAGAAAAACCGGAACAACGGATTTTTTTCTTTCTTTTTTTTTTTTTACAGCTGATTATAAAGCTATGCTGATCTAAAAGGAACGAGTAATGACAAGCTTCCTAGAAATGTAGTGGAGTAAAAAGTACAATATTTGTCTTTGAAATGTAGTGGAGTAAAAGTAAAAAGTTCCCAAATAAACAACTACTCAAGTAAAGTAAAGATACTCAAAAAATGTACTTAATTACAGTAATAAAGTAAAAGTACTTTGTTACTGTCCACCACTGCTGCACATAAAAATGCTTCAGAACATTCTTTAGGATTATATTTCCTTCAGCAGACCCATGGATAARCTATTTATTCATCATATTTTGACAAAATTTGCACCAATATCTCACTACCTGGCCACTTAATCCTCATTTTGATGTGACGGGTGACACRCGACATACAGTTTGTACCTTCTGACAGCGTGCCGTGTGTGTTTCAGGGTGAAAGAGGACGTGATGGTTCTCCTGGTTTTCCTGGACTTCAAGGTCCTCCTGTAAGCATTACCAGTCATCCCTCAGTTCAGTCTAGAACAATTTACGGTGTTTGATGGAAACATGATGCACTTTTTTTTTCTCGTCAGGGCATCCCGGGATCTGCTGGAATGAAAGCAAGAAACTTTTAATTTTTTTTACATTTTTACTGCATACAGGGTGTTTATCAGTCTCCTGTAAGTGACGTGTTGTTTCCCGTAGGGAGACCCCGGTGGTGTGATTGGGATTTTTCCTCGGCCTCAGAAAGGAGAACCAGGATTTCCTGGCACACCTGGACTACCTGTAAGTCTTACAACAGCTGTGTGTGACATGAAGGCGTATGTATGTGAGGAAAGGTTTTCCCACAATTGTTCTTCCTCTTCCAGGGACCATCTGGCCTCAGTGGACCTACTGGACCTCCAGGACCTCGAGGGTATCAGGGACTTAAGGTGAGTTCTGAGCTGTCCTTCATCCCATTAAATCAATGGTAAACTTTGTGAAGAAAGCTCTTGTGAAATTAAATCACTGTACAGTTTTAATTAAAGACTATTTTAATCAACATTTCTATTATTTTTGCTTTGTCTGATTGTTTGRTTGAAAAATTTACAGGGTGATCCTGGACCGCCCGGCCCTCCAGGGGAAAAAGTAAGATTAAACACATAAATGTTGAAGACTTTTCATTCTCAGGCTTGGTGACTGAAGATTTACTAAAAGCTTTGTTTTCATTTCTCTGCAGGGAGACCGCTTGTCTTTTGTGGGTGAAAAAGGAGAAAAGGTGAGTTTTTTTCTTCTATGAGAGTAAAATGTGAAAMATGAGCAAAGGTTGGGGAATTTTTGCATTAATTCTCATTAGTGAGTAGAGTTGATCTTATTTATAATTTTATTTGGCTGAATTATTATCAAAAAAAATTAAATAATAACTATCTAGACGTATTTCATTCATTTCGCACCCAACAATTTTTATCAGCTTACATTTTTATGCTATAAATGCGATACTATAATCATCAATATGCACCTTATATAATCATCATTCTCCTAAAGTGTCTTCGCATCACATTCACTCCCCTTTGAGCTCTTCATTAATTTGATTTATCCTTAAATGCATTGGATTTTCAGGGGGACTTTTGTTTTGGAGGCCATTACTCATCAAATTAACAGCATGATTCTGATGTCAAAAAAATGTAGTCTATATAAATAATCTGTCCAACTGATTGACACATGGCAAAACTCAGTAAATACATCCATCAACACCCATGAATCTTTGCCTCACTGTTGACGCAATGGCTCATGGTAACTTCCTTTCTAACAACAGTTTACAGGAAAAAGAGGAGATTATATTATAAGCTGTGAATTTTTATTTCTTTTTAAAACCGAATATAGATGTTTATTGCATTTTTCATAAATACAGTTTGTTCTTTTTTCCAACTTAAAAGTTTCTGTTCAGTGGAGGTTTTTCCTTTAACCACCACCAGAGGGGGCTGCAGCTCCCTGTTCCTGCTAATTTACAGTATTATACATATTGTTCAATACATACATTACAAATAGGATAGATAGATAGATAGATAGATAGATAGATAGATAGATAGATAGATAGATAGATAGATAGATAGATAGATAG